ATTCACTTGTCTTGCAAGCAGAGGGAACCATGAAACCAAAGAGAGAACTCAATCAGTACTATCAATATTGGGGTTATATTAATTAATATACTGTAGAATCAATGCCATTTAATATAATAATAATAATAATAACAATAATAATAATAATAATATTTTTTATTTCTTACCCACCTTTAATTTGGGGTTATATTAATATACTGTAGAATCAATGCTATTTAATATAATAATAATAATAATAATAATAATAATAATTTTTATTTCTTACCCACCTTTCCTCGAGGCGAGTTGACAGCATAATTCACACAGATAAACATTGTAAAAAATAAATAATCAATAAATTAATAATCAATAAATTAATAATAAATAAAAATTCTATAAATACACATATTTCTATAAAAGATCCATATTACACTCTGCAATTCACTTGTCTTGCAAGCAGAGGGAACCATGACACCAAAGAGAGAACTCAATCAGAACTATCAATATTGGGGATATATTAATTAATATACTGTAGAATTACTGCCATTTAATATAATAATAATAATATTTATTTCTTACCCACCTTTCCTAGAGGCAAGTTGACAGCATAATTCAAACAGATAAACATTGTAAAAAATAATAAATAAATAAATAAAAATTCTATAAATACACATATTTCTCTAAAAAATCTATATTACAATGTATTTCTATAAAACCCATATTGAAATACACAGAACGGAGATTAAACTCAAGACATGAGGTTAACATTCATGCTTAAAACTGTCAATAATAATAATAATCATTTTTTAAAATACACATACATCTATAAAAGATCCATATTAAAATGTATTTCTATAAAATGCATATTAAAATAAACAGATAAATTATTATTATTAAACTATATTACCTTTTAGATTATTATTATTGATCTATATCATCTTTATATATTATAATTTATCTATATTACCTCTTAGATTATTACCTTTTATACTATTAATATTAACCTATATTACCTTTTAGGTTATTATTATTGATCTATATTATCTTTATATATTATTATTAACCTATATTACCTTTTATATAGTTCAGTAATAATAATCTAAAAGGTAATATAGGTTAATAATAATAAATGATGATAATATAGATCAATAATAATAACCTAAAAGGTAATGTAGGTTAATAATAATAGTATAAAAGATAATAATCTAAGAGGTAATATATATAAATTATAATATATAAAAATGATATAGGTCAATAATAATAACCTAAAAGGTAATATAGGTTAATAATAATAGTATAAAAGATAATAATCTAATAATAATAACAACAACAACACTTTATTTGTACCCCGCTACCATCTCCCCAAGGGACTCGGTGTGGCTTACATGAGGCCAAGCCTCTGGCCCAGTTTACCTGTCCGAACGTATTCTCCCCTGTGAACCATCTAGGTTGTTAAGATCGTCTGGAGGGGCCCTGCTCTCGGTCCACCGGCCTCTCAGGCGCTTCTGGTGGGGACGAGGGACAGGGCCTTCTCGGTGGTGGCCCCTCGACTCTGGAACTCTCTCCCACTGGAGATCAGAACTGCCCCCTCCACTCTGTCGTTCAGAAAACGGGTGAAAACCTGGCTATAGGGTTTGGCTTTTGACGAGTTAATCAATATTTCTGTGATTGGATAGATGACGACGAATGATGGACAACGAATTAACTATGATGACTGACCATTGTTATTATGTGATTGCATTTTGCTATTATAACGTTTTAATTGAATATGTCATATGATGTTTTTAATGATTGTTTTGTGATTTTATTGTTGGAAACCAGCCCGAGTCCCCCGATAGAGGGGAGAAAACCGGTATACAAAATTGCTAAATAAATAAATACATCAATAAACAAAACATCAATATAATAAAACATCAATAAACAATCAATACAATATAAATCATAAATCACCTAAACAAAATAGACAATAAGCAACCAACAGTAACATATAAGCATTTAAAACCAATGGCCGGGCCAAATGTGATAGATTATCAATAATAATCCAAAAGTTAATATAGGTTAATAATAATAGTATAAAAGATAATAATAAAATAAAAGGTAATATAGGTTAATAATCATAGTAATATGAAAGATAATATATATCAGTACTAATAATTACATGGTAATTTAGCATAATAATAATAATAATAATAATAATAATAATAATAATATAAAAGGTAATATAGGTAATAATAATAATTTGACACCACGAACTGCCATTATTATTATGTTTATTTATACCCTGCTTTGTCTCTCTTGCAGGAGACTCAAAACAGCTTAACATAAAAGCATCAGCATACAATTTAAAATATACAAATATGCAAACTGCCATGGCTCAGTGCTAGGGAATCAGGGAAGTTGTAGTTTTCCAAGGTCTTTAACAAACTGCAATCTCCCTGGTTTTCATAGTCTTGGGCCATAGCAGTTCAAGTGGGATTAAACTGTATCCATTCTACAATGTGGATGCATCCTTCAACTCCTCATGGGGGCTGTCTGAGGATTCTGGGAGTTGTAGTCCGGTTTCTGCAACTTCTCTGCCATTCCTCCTGACTCCTTTCAGATTTACAAACATGTGGCCTGTGGTTTCTTTCCCAAAAAAAGCTTTTGCCAAGTCAGGGCTATTGTTTTATTTTTAGGAAGGAAAAGAAAGAACTGAACGGGCGACTCCTTCTAAAAGCAGCAGCATCAGCTTTTTTTGCCACATATACCACCAAATGCTGATTTTTTAAAAAAGCATTTCTGGTTTTTCTGGAATGGAGGCTTTGCCCTCCGGATCTTAGTCCGAGGCATCTGGTCAATGAATCATTATTTACGGGCAAGAAGATCAAAATGGAACAGGACTTTGCCCTCCAGTTCGCCTTCTAATAACCCCAGAAGCTGTAGGATTTGGCAACTTATCTTCTTGTTGTTTTACAGTATCAGTTGCTCTTTTTTGGAATCCCTGCAGATGGGAATCGAAGCTCTGAATTATTGTGATCTTGGGGGCATCTACATTGTTGAATTAATATAGTTTAACACCACTTTAATGGCTAGGGCTGTAATATTAGTAGTAGAGCTGGAAGGAGAGGGGTTAATAAATAAAAATTTATATTTATTATTATTATTTCTACCCTTCTTTATCTTTCTAAAAGCCAACGCAACCAACAATGAAAGCAAAACTCATGCCAACATTAAGATAGAATTAAACAGCAGGATACCGAAGGCTTCTATTATATTACTAGCCGCCCCCTGCCACGCGTTGCTGTGGCCCAGTCTGTGTATGTGCATTGTGTGTTTGTGTATGCGTTGTAATGTATTTTTTTGGTTTTTTGGCTTTTTAAGTCTCTTCTGCTGTGTTTTTCAGTAGTTTTATGAGCGATGGTCACTCGTTGGCCTGAGAGGTGTCTTGTGTTCAAATCTGGTGTCAATTTGTCCAGTGGTTTTTGAGTTACGTTAATCCCACAAAAAAACATTACATTGTATTGTCGAAGGCTTTCATGGCTGGAATCACTAGGTTCTTGTGGGTTTTTCGGGCTATAGAGCCATGTTCTAGAGGCATTTCTCCTGACGTTTCGCCTGCATCTATGGCAAGCATCCTCAGAGGTAGTGAGGTCTGTTGGAATTAGGACAATGGGTTTATATATCTGTGGAATGGCTGGGGTCCCCTGCCACGCATTGCTGCGGCCATCATGGGGGTTCTGTGTGGGAGGTTTGGCCCAATTCTATTGTTGGTGGGGTTCAGAATGCTCTGTGATTGTAGGTGAACTATAAATCCCAACAACTACAACTCCCAAATGTCAAGATTCTATTTTCCCCAAACTCCACCAGTATTCACATTTGGGCATTTTGAGTCTTTGTGTCGAGTTTGGTCCAGATCCGTCATTGTTTGAGTCTACAGTGCTCTCTGGATGTAGGTGAACTACAACTCCAAAACCAAAGGACACTGCCCACCAAACCCTTCCAGTATTTTCTGTTGGTCATGGGAGAACTGTGTGCCAAGCTTGGTTCAATTCCATCGTTGGTGGGGTTCAGAATGCTCTTTGATTGTAGGTGAACTATAAATCCCAGCAACTACAACTCCCAAATGACAAAATCATTTTTTTTAAGTGAAGGACATACATTGGGTTGTTAGGTGTCTTGTGTCCAAATTTGGAGTTAATGTGTCCAGTGGTTTTTGAGTTCTGTTAATCCCACAAACGAACATTACATTTTTATTTATATAGATTATCATCATTATTATTACCATCATTGTGATGATATTTATTGGAACCCCATTTTTCTCCCAAGACTGGATCCCAGAACTGCTCACAGTCTCCAATATGTGCAAGTGAAGGTTTTCAGGTCCAAGAGTTTCATTTCTGCTGTGGAATTGACGCAGTTTGATACCACTTTAACTGCCATGGATCAAGGCTATGGAATTCTGGGAGATGTAGTTTGGCAATGGGATGGAATCATGGGAGTTTTGCAACGGGATACATTCTTCCTTTTTCTTTTCCAGAACCTGATGAAAGTCGCCTCTCAGAACTTTGTGCAGAACACGAACATCGACAGTGGACAGTGAGTCTGAGTTTTGTTCAAATGTCACCCGTGTTTCCCCTTCCACAACGTTTTGAGTTTCGCTGGATTCTCACATACACATTTAAATAAATAAACACCTTTTCTACCATTTCAGGAAAAGCAACGACGGCCCAGTGCAGCGGGTGGACAAGAGCCTGGAGGAATTCTATGCCTTGTGCGACCAGCTGGAACTCTGCCTGGTGAGCCTCTTGGGAGAGAGTGATGGAGCTAAAGGGGAACCCAAAGGCCATCTAGTCCAACCCCTTGTCAGGTTGGACTGTCAGGCTTGCCTATTAGCGGTGACCTCCAGCCCTACAATAACAAAAAAAAACCCAGTAACTTTCTTTAACATTGCTATATGCATTCAGAAGGATTTTTTCTTAAAAACACATCTAAATTTGTCAAATTCATGGAGGGAGAGGGGCCAACCAATGGAAAAGTAATTGGAACCTCCAGGTATAGAGGCAGCCTACCTTATTATTACTTCCATTTAAAAGCCAGCCCTACATCAGTCACACAGAAATAATAATAATAATAGTAATAATAATAATAATAGTGTGATTAAGGTGAAGCCAGCCCCAGCTTCCAAACAGACATTTATTGTTAACTTTTGCATTTTCTTTGGGAGAAATAAAGCCTGATATAAATCAGCACGATAATAATAATAATAATAATAATAATAATAATAATAATAAATCCAGCACAGAGATCTCATTTGCTGTGACATATTGTGGTTTTGTGTCAGAATAATAATAATAATAATAATAATAATAATAATAATAATAATAATAGTGTGATTAAGGTGAAGCCAGCCCCAACTTCCAAATAGACATATTTATTGTAAACTTTTGCATTTCCTTCAGGAGAAATATGTTTTCCGATGGTCTTTGGCAACTCCTTTGACACCCCCTCATGACCACCTCAGGGGTCCCGACCCCCAGGTTGAGAAACACTGCAATAGGTTAATTCCACAGCATGGATGCTCTTCTCTCCTGACTCCCTTGCTTCTCTTTCCGCCGCAGCGCCTGGCCTACGAGTGCCTCTCCCAGAGCTTTGACAGCGCCAAGCACTCCCCGACGCTGGTGCCGACGGCCACCAAGCCGGACGCGGTCCAGACGGAGAGCCTGCCTTACACCCAGTACCTCGGCATGATCAAGTCCCAGATCTCCTGCGCCAAGGACATCCACAACGCCCTCCTGGAGTGCTCCAACAAGATCACCGGCAAAGTGCCCTCCCAGGGGGTCCTGTAGCCCCCCAAAACCGGCCCACGGCTACAGACTTTGGATTTCTAGGCTTATGGGTTTCTAGTCTGACTCCTTGGTTCCTCTTCTCTCTCCTTCTTTGGGACTCACTGAGCTTCTTTCCTAATTTATGTGTTGTTGTTTTTTAATACACGGTGCTAGCCATGCTGACTCTTCAAGCTCCTTTTTTTGGGGTGCAAGGTTGATTTTGGGTTGTTATGAGTTTTCCATGTTCCAGAAGCATTCTCTCCTGACATTTCGCCTGCATCTATAACAGGCATCCTCAGAGGTTGTTGATTTTGGGGCTTGGCGCAGATAACGTTTTCATAGAATCATAGAGTTGGAAGAGACCACATGGGTCATCTAGTCCAACCCCTTGGCTTACGGGAAGCGCACAATCAAAGCACTCTTGACAGATGGCCATCCAGTCTTTGCTTGAAACCCTCCAAGGGAGCTTCCATCAGACTCCAAGACAGAGAGTTCCACTGCTGAACGGAAGTTCTTCCTAATATTCAAGTGGAATCTCCTTTCCTGCCATTTGAACCCATTACTCCACTAAGTCCTAGTTTCAAGGGGCTTCCACTGGACTCCGAGGCAGAGAGTTCCACTGCTGAACAGCTCTTATGGTCAGGAAGTTCTTCCTAATATTCAAGTGGAATCTCCTTTCCTGCCATTTGAACCCATTACTCCATTAAGTCCTCGTTTCAAGGAAGGAGCTTCCACTGCACTCCGAGGCAGAGAGTTCCACTGTTCAACAGCTCTTACAGTCAGAAAGTTCTTCCTAATATTCAGGTGGAATCTCCTTTCCTTACCATTTGAACCCATTAAGTCCTAGTTTCAAGGGCTTCCAAGGAAGGAGCTTCCACTGGACTCCAAGGCAGAGAGTTCCACTGTTGGAACAGGAAATTCTTCCTAATATTCAGGTGGACTCTCCTGCCATTTGAACCCATTACTCCATTAAGTCCTAGTTTCAAGGGGCTTCCAAGGAAGGAGCTTCCACTAGACGCCAAGGCAGAGAGCTCCACTGTTGTACAGCTTTTACAGTCAGGAAGTTCTTCCTCACATTCAGGTGGAATCTCCTTTCCTGCCATTTGAACCCATTACTCCATTAAGTCCTAGTTTCAAGGGGCTTCCAAGGAAGGAGCCTCCACTGTACTCCGAGGCAGAGAGTTCCACAACTGAACAGCTCTTATGGTCAGGAAGTTCTTCCTAATATTCGAGTGGACTCTCCTTTCCTGCCATTTGAACCCATTGCTCCATTAAGTCCTAGTTTCAAGGGGTTTCCAAGGAAAGAGCTTCCACTAGACTCCGAAACAGAGAGTTCCACTGTTGAACAGCTTTCACAGTCAGGAAGTTCTTCCTAATGTTTAGATGGAATCTCCTTTCCTGTCATTTGAACCTATTGCTCTGTGTCCTAGTCTGCAGGGCAGCAGAAAACAATCCTGTTCCCTCTTGCTTAGGACACCCTTTCAGATGCTTATACATGGCTCTCGTGTCTCCTCTCGACTTCTCTTCTCCAGGCTAAACATACTCGGCTCTTTAAGACGCTCCGGGCCTTTGATCCTTCCAGTTCAACTGGATGGCGGAACGGGGTTGGACTGGGTAGCCTTTGGCGCCTCTTCCAGCTCTAGGATTCTATGATTCAACAGTAATTTGATGGCTATCTGTTGAGAGGCATTTGATTGTATTTCCTTCTATAGCTGGGGGTTGGACTAGATGACCCTTGGAGTCTCTTCCATCTCTACTATTCTGTAATTCAACTAGCTGGATGGCCATCTGTTGGGAGGGCTTGGACTCTGTCTTCCTGCCTGGCAGAAGGGGGTTGGGCTGGATGGCCTTTGGGTCTCCCAGCTCTAGAATTCTATGATTCAACAGTAATTGAATGGCCATCTGTTGAGAGGGCTTTGACTGTGTTTCCTTCCATAGATGGGGGTTGGACTAGATGACCCTTTGAGTCTCTTCCATCTTTAGGATTCTATTATTCAACTAGCTGGATGGCCATCTGTCGGAAGGGCTTGGACTGTGTCTTCTTGTTTGGCAGAAGGGGGTTGGACTGGATCGCCATCCAGAGACCCCAAAGGCCATCCAGTCCAACCCCCTTCTGCCAGGCAGGAAGACACAGTCCAAGCCCTCCCGACAGATGGCCATCCAGGGACCCCAAAGGCCATCCAGTCCAACCCCTTTCTGCCAGGCAGGAAGACACAGTCTAAGTCCTCCCGACAGATCGCCATCCAGAGACCCCAAAGGCCATCCAGTCCAACCCCCTTCTGCCAGGCAGGAAGACACAGTCCAAGCCCTCCCGACAGATGGCCATCCAGAGACCCCAAAGGCCATCCAGTCCAACCCCCTTCTGCCAGGCAGGAAGACACAGTCCAAGCCCTCCCGACAGATCGCCATCCAGAGACCCCAAAGGCCATCCAGTCCAACCCCCTTCTGCCAGGCAGGAAGACACAGTCCAAGCCCTCCCGACAAATGGCCACCCAGGGACCCCAAAGGTCATCCAGTCCAACCCCCTTCTGCCAGGCAGGAAGACACAGTCCAAGCCCTCCTGACAGATGGCCACCCAGAGACCCCAAAGGCCATATAGCCCAACCCCCTTCTGCCAGGCAGGAAGACACAGTCCAAGCCCTCCCGACAGATGGCAATCCAGAGACCCTAGAGGTCATCCAGCCCAACCCCCTTTGGGGTCTCTTCTAGCTCTATGGAGCTGTGTTGGTCCAGATTGGTTCTGTGAATACAGAGAGGCTTCTGCACAGTTTTTGGATTGATCTAGCTGTTTACCCCCTTATAGCTACAGCTTTTGCAGAGGCGGTTAATGATCATATGAGAATATGAGCAGCCACCGAATGCTCATATTGTTTGTTCTGCCTTCAAAGGCCCTATCTACACTGACTATTTATTGCAGTTCAAAGCCAGCTTCAGACTGCAGCAGCCCAACCCCAGGCCCCATCTCTTGCAGGCTTTGCTCCTTGTGTTTGTGCCAGAGCAGAGCAGGAGGGCAGCACCCAACGAGGAGGAAATGTGTCACTCGCCCGCAAGAGAAGAAGGTTCAACATGTCCCTTGTTGTTCTCCGAACTCTGTTTTCTTGCGCAAGGCTTTCTCGTCCCTCCTGGCTTGCTTTTTTTCGGGGGCGTTTCTGTCTATGTTTGGCTTTTCTTTGTTTTTTGAAAGAAAGAAAGAGATTTTTTTTATTCTTATCTAACCAACCCTCTCTTTGACTCAGGCTAAGGAATTTCTTGAGTTTGTACAGCGGACACAGAGCGAGGAATGCTATTTTGGCTCCCCTCCCCAAACCTGTAGGATTAAGGCGGTTTGGCTCCCCTTTGGCTGCCCTTTCTCAATACTATGGGATTGTTGGAGCGGTCGCTTGGGGCAATTTTTGGCAGGGAAGGCTGTACAGGGATTGGAAAACTACACCTCCCTGCATTCCATAGCATTCATAGAATCATAGAATCAAAGAGTTGGAAGAGACCTCATGGGCCATCCAGTCCAACCCCATTCTGCCAAGAAGCAGGAATATTGCATTCAAATCACCCCTGACAGATGGCCATCCAGCCTCTGTTTAAAAGCTTCCAAAGAAGGAGCCTCCACCACACTCCGGGGCAGAGAGTTCCACTGCTGAACGGCTCTCGCAGTCAGGAAGTTCTTCCTCATGTTCAGATGGAATCTCCTTTCTTGTAGTTTGAAGCCATTGTTCCATTGCGTCCTAGTCTCCAGGGAAGCAGAAAACAGGCTTGCTCCCTCTTCCCTGTGGCTTCCTCTCACATATTTATATGTGAGACATAGCAGTTTATTTATCGTGTCAGGAGCAACCATGCAGTTGTATTACATTTTTAACAAAAACAAGCAAACAGACAAAACACAAAGTTTGCAAGCTTGGTATTCTATTAAATGTCCTTTGACCAGTATCTGGCCACTTGGAGTGCCTCTGGTGTTGCCGCAAGGAGGTCCTCGATTGTGCATGTGGCAGGGCTCAGGGTGCATTGCAGCAGGTGGTCAGTGGTTGCTCTTCTCCACACTCGCATGTCGAGGATTCCACTTTGTAGCCCCATTTCTGAAAGTTGGCTCTGCATCTCGTGGTACCAGAGCGCAGTCTGTTCAGCGCCTTCCAAGTCGCCCACTCTTCTGTGTGCCCAGGAGGGAGTCTCTCATTTGGTATCAGCCATTGGTTGAGGTTCTGGGTTTGAGCCTGCCACTTTTGGACTCTCATTTGCTGAGGTGTTCCAGCGAGTGTCTCTGTAGATCTTAGAAAACTATTTCTTGATTTAAGTCGTTGACGTGCTGGCTGATACCCAAACAGGGGATGAGCTGGAGATGTCTCTGCCTTGGTCCTTTCACTATTGGCTGCTACTTCCCGGCGGATGTCAGGTGGTGCGATACCGGCTAGACAGTGTAATTTCTACAGTGTTGTGGGCGCAGACACCCCTGTGATAATGCGGCATGTCTCATTAAGAGCCACATCCACTGTTTTAGCGTGGTGAGATGTGTTCCACACTGGGCATGCATACTCAGCAGCAGAGTAGCATAGCGCAAGGGCAGATGTCTTCACTGTGTCTGGTTGTGATCCCCAGGTTGTGCCAGTCAGCTTTCGTATGATATTGTTTCTAGCACCCACTTTTTGCTTGATGTTCAGGCAGTGCTTCTTGTAGGTCAGAGCACGGTCCAGGGTGACTCCCAGGTATTTGGGTGCGCTGCAATGCTCCAGTGGAATTCCTTCCCAGATGATAATCCTCAGAGCTCAGGATACTTGTCTGTTCTTGAGATGAAGAGCACATCTGTGTTTTAGATGGATTAGGATTAGATGGAAAATTGCCAATAACGAAAAAATAATGAAATTTCAGAAGTTTTGTTAGGGTTCTGAAATTTTCACCACCAGAACTTTAGCAACACTTTAGAAGGGAAGCACCAGCACCCCCTACTTTTGTAAGCGCTTTAGAACAATTTAGAACCATGGATTCTCCATGCCTAATAGATAAATTGATAGATATGATAGATCAGCGTTTCTCAACCTGGGGGTCGGGACCCCCAAAGGGGTCATGGGGGGGTGTCAGAGGGGTCACTGAAGACCATGAGAAAACACAGTATTTTCTGTTGGTCATGGGGCTTCTGTGTGTCAAGTTTGACCCAATTCTATCATTGGTGGAGTTCGGAATACTCTTTGATTGTAGGC